CCGGGCTGGGGATTCGAACCCGCCACCTTAGGTGTATGTGGCTGGCGCCTTAGCGCTTGAGCCACAGGCGCCGAGCCATCATACTGTTCTGAGAAGAAAATTTATCGCTTTAGATGCCTACATTCGAAAACAGAAAGAGAGCATGTCAACAAACTCACAAGCCACTTTATGGGATTGGGAGAAGAAAAACAATGTAAGCCTAACCCAGCAGAAGAAAAGAAAAAGACTTGGAAAAAATGATACTGCGTTTTGTATAGAACCAGAAAAAACTCCATGTAGCTAAGGCAGTTCTTAGTAAGAAAAACAAAGCCAGGGGCATCACCATACCACATTTGAGGCTGTACTACAAAGCCAGAATGGTCAAGACAACATGGTACTGGTACAAAAATAGAGACATAAAGATTTGGAATCGAATAGAAAACCAGGAAATGAAACTAACCTCTTACAACCACTGAATCTTTGATAAACCAAACAAGAACATACCTTGGGGGAAAGACCCTCTATTCAATAAATGGTGCTGGGAGAACTGGATATCCACATGTAGACTAAAACTGGACCCATACCTTTCTCCACTCATAAAAATTGATTCAAGATGGATAAAGGACTTAAATTTAAGGCATGAAACAATAAAAGTCCTCAAAAAAAGCATAGTAAAAACACTGGAAGATACTGGCCTGGGGAAAGATTTCATGAAGAAGACTGCTATGGCAATTGCAACAACAACAAAAATAAACAAATGGGACTTAATTAAACTGAAAAGCTTCTGTACAGCTAAGGAGACAACAACCAAACCAAATAGACAACCTACACAATGAGAAAGGATATTTGAATATTTTGAATCAGACAAGAGCTTGATAACTAGGATCTATAGAAAACTCAAATTAATCCACACAAAAAAAGCCAACAATCTCATATATCAGTGGGCTAGAGACATGAATAGAACCTTCTCTGAAGAATACAGATGAATGGCCAACAAACATATGAAAAAATGCTCATCATTCCTAATTATTAGAGAAATACAAATCAAAACCACTTTGAGATACCATCTAACCCCAGCAAGAATGGCCCACATCACAAAATCTCAAAATTGCAGATGCTGACATGGATGTGGAAAGAATGGAACACTTTTACACTGCTGGTGGGACTGCAAATACAACCTTTTAGGAAGGAAGTATGGAGAAACCTCAAAGAACTCAAGCTAGACCTCTCATTTGATCCTGCAATCCCATTATTGGGCATCTACCCAGAAGGAAAAAAAAATCCTTTTATCATAAGGACACTTGCACTAGACTGTTTATTGCAGCTCAATTTACAATTGCCAAAATGTGGAAACAGCCTAAATGCCAACCCAGGAATGGATTAACAAGCTGTGGTATACGTATACCATGGAATACTATTCAGCTATTAAAATAAAATGGAGACTTTATAGCCTTTGCATTAACCTGGATAGAAGTGGAACACATTATTCTTAGTAAAGCATCACAAGAATGGAGAAGCATGAATCCTAGGTCCTCAATTTTGATATGAGGACAATTAATGACAATGACACAGTGGGGCTGGAGGAGGGGGAGGACAGAGAGAGAAAGGGGTGGGGGAAAGGAAAAGCAGAGAGAGGGAAGGAGGGAGGACGTGGGGTCTTGGTGTGTGCCACGCTTTTTTGGGCAAGACATGATTGTAAGAGGGACTTTACCTAACAAATGCAATCAGTGTAACCTGGTTTCTTGTACCCTCAATGAATCCTCAACAATAAAAAAAAATTAAAAAAAGATACGAGACAATATAATCACTCATTAAAGGAACTACAGAAAAAAATATTGCTATTAAATTCAAAATAGAGAGGGATCAACACAAACTGGGCAGTCAGAGAAAGCTACACAGAAGATCAAGTGACTGACGGAGGTAGGAAGAATTTATAACTCAACAAGAGGAGAGACTAGGCAGCCCTCGTGGAAAGAGGTAAAGGAGGTAATTAAACGTGTTGAGCAAACAGCTATTTATAGCTGGGATAAATTTTGAGATAAAGCTCGGAAAATATATAATAACCAAATTAACACATTAACTGCCATGTGAGTAATATTTAACTTCTGCCAATTTTGAACCTGGAGTCTTACGAAGGTTATATAACTCACATGTCTCTTGCCTTATCTTGACCTAATAAAATACTGTGGCTCCAAGGAAAAGAAAATTTTTTCATGTGTGGCAATCAATGTATTACTGATCTACCAAGGGGTACGAGTTTTCTCCTAGGGGCTCAGTATTTCTCAGAATATGTTCTGTGGACTACTGGCATCGGAATTAACTGTAGCGCTTGATTAAGACAGTTTCCTGGTCTCAGCCAAGCACTATTAAATATGAATCTATGTAGTACAGCATGGAAATTTTTACTGCTTTTAAAGAACCTTCTCATCTGATCTTCATGTATAAAAACATTTCTGAATCACAGCAGTAACTATTGGGGAATTATTCAACTTTTTTTGAAAGGGGTGATGTGACCAAAGAAAGTGATATATACATGATATATAAAGGGATAGGGTCTAGTAAAAGCTTATTGTGGTAGTCCAGGGATGACCTAATAAGGATCTAAAAATACTACTGTGATAGTAAAAATAGGAAAGAAGAAACTGTTCCAAGAATATGAAGGAAGGACCAAAATGATCCAAAGTCAGGTCAGGACTAACAGAATTAAAAGGATTTGCTTCTGAGATTATAAAGAATGTTGCTACCTGAACAGAAACAGAGAGGTCATGGGGGATGGGGGGCTGCTTTAAAAGAAAAAATAAAGTCTGTTTTAGGCATGTTGAATCTGAGGTGATGACAGGACATTTGAGGGGAGTTTGTATGTGTATACCCTAGACCACACAAAAGCTTTTCTGTCCCTCATTATCTAAGTTTACCAGATACTTTCTCAAATCACTGTTGTGGTTCTGCAATTTTATTTTATTTATTTATTTATTTTGCAGTTTTTGGCCGGGCCTGGGATTGAACCTGCCACCTCCGGCATATGGGGCCAGCGCCCTACTCCTTTGAGCCATAGGCGCCGCCCTGGTTCTAGAATTTTAAATGTCAGTTATGTTATCATTGTTTCTCTTATCTGAACAATACTCCAAAGACTCCAAACTCATGTTTTCAAATTGGTCTATAGCATACAAATACAATTTTTAGAAAAGATCTTAATGCTGCAGGAAGATGCCATCTTAAAACCTCTTTTTAATAATAACAACAAATCATTCAAATGCTTGTCGCAGGCATACACAATGAGTACAAGGTCAAAAGGAATTAAGTGAAGAACCCTCCCTGTTCTGGAGGCGGAGATTTGTTCTACAAAGCCTCCTGTCATGCCAGTGGCCAACTAGACAAGTTGGAGGGTTTTTTTCTCTTTTTTTCTTTTCCTTGTGACATGTGCTTTAGTTGCAGCGGAAAGGAAATGTGTCATCTGTGGTTTGGTTTTAAAAGTGGAAAACTAGCTGCACATATCCTTTTTTACTGCAGATTTACTTTAAGGTTCATATTCTCCAAGTCTGTTCTGCTTTAAATAGGAAAAGAAGAAAAGAAGTGAGTTATTAGAATCACATTATACTCAGATTTTGACCAAGCATTGTGTAAGGTAGGTCATATATATGGCTTTTCTTACGCCTTTTCACTTCTAACCTTGTACAGATTAGCATTTGAGGAAGTGCTTTTCAAAGAGTGTCTTCAGAATCTCACTAACAAAGTAGAATCATGTGATTGAAAATGTATACTGTTTTTTTCCTGTACTATTATGTAAAATTTAAGTTAGAAATGGAAAAGATTTACCATCAACCTGGAGTTCTTTAATTAGGATTAGGAAGGTTCTGTATTTGGACTCCACAAGTGAACTGGAAAGTTTTGTTATTTTTTTAAAAGGTTAAAAAATAAATGTCTCATTACTAATGCTTAGGCATTATAAATTTTATTGAAAATGACCAGGGATAAGGAAAACTTTTGAAAATATGACCTGGCCTCTATGGCATAAATTAGAGATGTAGAAACAGTGCTCAATTCTCAGGCTTTTGTGGGAATAAGAGATCTCATTTTGTTAGCAGCTTGTTTATTTGGTTGGGCATGGCTGTACATCTGGCTGGAGACAATCAACAGCGGGCCTATTCTCTGTCCCGTGGTAAGCACTGTTAAAATGTACACAAATACTATGATGTGTACTACACTGTCAGTGAAATAATGTGACAAGAATAACCTACTTTAAATCATTTTAGGATCTAATGTAGCAGTCCAGTCTAGTATAAAAGAATGGAGATTACTTGCTCACCCAATTTCAAGTATTTCTTGTGAAAGAATCATAAAGTATCCAATGATTTATGTCATTCAACTTAAAAGCTGAAGCTGAACACTTCTATACAAAAGCCAATATACGTATGTATCCTTAACTGTCTTTTTTAAAGGTTGTAGCCCAAAAAGGAGCCTTAATCTTAGAACATTTTATTATATGTTACTTTTGTTTGTATAACTTGACATATCACATGTTATTCTTAACTTCTGCATTTCAATAGTATACAAAAGTTACCTGATGACAAACAATAACCATTTCTTATAAAATACCTTGATGCTCAAAAGCATGATGGACAATGCCATCTGTGTTGCTTAATAGTGAGGTTAGAAAAATACTCTTAGGCCCCACCTAGACCTGATTCTGAATATGTACTAAAAAAACCCCCAAAAAACCAACCACCAAAAAGGACTCTCATGCACATTTAAGTGTGAGAAGAATTTCTATTTTATAGAATACATGGGATTTTAAACTAGGCAATTTCATTTTGTAAATGTCAACTAACAGTCTAGTTTTGTTTTTAGTTCCTTCAAATAAATGCTAACAATAAAATATTCTTTCAAAAGTGGCTCAGGACAAAGTGGTATATTATTACAAGACATCTTAATAATGATGATAAATCTTTCCTGCTATGTTAGCAATACCTGGAACTGTTAAATTCTAAGATATGCCAGTTCTATTTAAACATTTAATCACATGACATATAATGAGAATTTAGAATAAAACTTGTTCCCTTTTTGTACTGGCTTCCAGGAAGCTCAGAGCCAAAACTAAAATTCACCTTTTTCAATTATATCTTGATGTGGTTATGGTTTTTCTTTCTTTCTTTCTTTTTTTTTTTTTTGCAGTTTTTGGCCAGGCCAGGCTCCAACCCACCACCTCCGGTATATGGGGTTGGCGCCCTACTCCTTTGAGCCACAGGCACTGCCCCGGTTATGATCTTTCATTGAATTCTTTCTCTCTCTCTCTTTTTTTTTTTGAGACAGAGCCTCAAGCTATAGCCCTGGGTAGGTAGAGTGCCCTGGTGTCACAGCTTACAGCAACTTCCAACTCCTGGGCTTAAGCGATTCTTTTGCCTCAGCCTCCTGAGTAGCTGAACTATAGGCGTCTGCCACACGCCCGGCTATTTTTTGGCTGTAGTTGTCATTGTGTGACAGGACTGGGCCAGATTCGAACCCGCAAAGCTCTGGTGTATGTGGCTGGTGCCTTAGTCGTTTGAGCTACAAGAGTGGAGCCCTTTCATTACATTCTAAATCCCCAGGATCCTGATGTTCTACTTCTATTTTATTATATAATTTTTTTAAGAATTATGTCAAATCAGAAAAAAATGTTAGGTATAAAAGATGCTGGGGAAAAAGCCAATAACTTTTGTTGAACTTCTAAGGTTATTCAGAAGAAATCTGCTTTTTCTTTATTCTTCCAGATTATTACACTGAGAAAACTGGCATACCTTTGGCTTTCAGGGGAAACAGAGGTGAAAAGAGAGAACTACCACCACAAAATTGCTTTCATAAGTATTGGGAATATATTTCTAAGTTCCAGCTTTTTTCTAAGCTTCAAGATAAACACCAAAAAATAATAATAATAAAAATAAAATAAAACAAAACAAACTTTAATTCCTTTTTTTTTTTTGGCTGCTACCAAATTTTCCCTCCTCCTACCAAAAAAGTAATTTTGCATTTTCTTTTCATACAAGAAGCAAAATGCTCATGGCCATATTCTTCCTTTGCTGTAAAGATAGTGACAGATTAGTTAGAGGGTGGGGAGTTTCAAGAATAATCCTTAATTTTTTTTTAAAAGGAGGAATCAACAAAGTAAAAGCAGAAGTATTTGACTCAAAGCAGAAGTCAAGCATGTTTAACAGGGTGAAAACTATACAAAGCCATGCTATTCAGTTTAAAATGATTAGTAGTTATTTATAATGCTAACTCTGGCACCCAGAAGTATAACAGCAATTAAAATTCTTCTTTGTACACTGTCTAAGAATAGGAAAAAAATTCAGTGGAGAAGGAATTCAAACAGAGTAACTAATGTAGGGGTAAGCTTGTAACATCTCAACTATCTTTTAGCTACAATCACCAAAGCTAAGAACCACTGCTATTTCACAAATTAACAAGTTATATTCCTATCCCCACAGATAACCAGTATACTCATGGACATGGAACACGCAGGACATTACCTGCATCTTGCCTTTCTGATGACAACAGTTTTTTCTTTGTCTCCTGGGACAAAAGCGAACTATACCCAGCTGTGGGCTAATAATACTACTGCCTGGGATTCAGTTATTCAAAACAAGATGGGCAGAAACCAAAATGAAAACATTAATACCAACCCTGTAACTCCGGAAGTAGATTATAAAGGTAATTCTAGAAACACGCCTGAAACGGCAACATCTCACGTTGTAACTTCTAAATCTGAACAGGAGCTTTATATACCTTCTGTTGTCAAAAAGAGTTCTCCAACTGTACAGAGCATTGAAAACATAAGCGTAAGTCAGAGTGAAATTTTCAAAAAGGATGTCTGTGAGGAAAACAACAGCAACATGGCTATGCTAATTTGCTTAATTATAATTGCAGTGCTTTTTCTTATCTGTACCCTTCTATTTTTATCAACTGTGGTTCTGGCAAACAAAGTCTCATCTCTCAGACGAATGAAAGCAGTAGGCAAGCGTCAGCCTAGAAGCAATGGCGATTTTCTGGCAAGCAGTGGTCTATGGCCTGCTGAATCAGACACTTGGAAAAGAGCAAAACAACTCACAGGACCCAGCCTAATGATGCAATCTACTGGAGTGCTCACAGCTACAAGGGAGAGAAAAGATGAAGGAGGAACTGAAAAACTCACTATCTAACAGATGGCTTAGTGAAGAAAAATGCTAAGTAGCAATGGGAATGGTTACAAAGTAAAAATGAAGTCAATTTGGTATTTAATGCCAAAGTGTTGGGCTGATGATCTAAAATTTGTGATGGTAGGCCTTGCAATTTAATTTAAATCAGGCAGGCAAGAAAGGGAGAAGTATGACTGCTTACTTAAGTACCTAAGCTATATACTTTTTTGGACACTGAATGATTTCAAAAGCAAATAATAACATCACCAAGCATTTGAGGAAAGTTTTAAAGATAACTTGAGGAGATTGACTAATAGAGAGCAAGAGATAATTAAATCAATATCCCCTATTCAGCAATAGTAGTTAGATGATCTTCTGAATGTAATTAAACTCTGAAGAGTTTTAGTGTGTCCTTAGAGGTCATGCATATATTCCAACATTCAACAGAATGTCAAGTTGCTAATGCGGAGAGTTGAACTATATAACTTAATGGTAACTTCTTTGCTGGATGTGGCAGATTACATATCAGTTCATCTATCAATACAACTAATTTTAGTCCTATGCTTTCATTTTTACGTATGGCACACGAGAAAGTGTTTTTCTACCATAAATATTAAATCAAAACTTTTAATTTTGTATAATAAATTAAAACTCATTAGAATAAAACTGTGACTATGTATATTTGCTTTCACTTTGTTATCTTAGAGAACACACTATAAAGACCAATAACAAACAGAGCACAACTAAATTAGATGAGATCTGTAGCCACACCAATAGGTTAAATGTAAATGTAAGGCATTTTTAAATGTTTAAGAGTAATATTCATCCTTTCTATAAATATTGCTTATTGCAGCAGTAATAACAAATATTAAAAGGTTGATTAATTTTTGGACTTCAAAGATGCCAAGTAATCTAATATGATCAATTTTATTTTTTACTATCCAATGTGATTAGAGCAAAGGAAAAATGTATGTGTGTTTGTTGAAGTTGGGAAGACAGGATACTTCTGGTAACTGTCTAACCTTTAAAGAAATTGGCTTCAAATAACATTCAAGTCAAGACATACTGGCTACATTAAAAAAAAAAAAACTTACCCTTATAGAACATTTATTTTGGGCAATGTGCTAACCATTTAAGACAAGAAAAAAAAAATGCACACACGCACACCCAAGTATGACTACAGTCTTATGCTTCCTTCTAGGCTAGTGATTCTCATCCTGGCTGGATATCAGAATCACCTGAAGAGTTTCAAAAAACCACCAATGCCTAATTCCCATGTCCTTCTGATTCAACAGAAATGGGGTGAGCTCTAGGCAATGGTAATTTTTTTTTTTTTGAGACAGAGCCTCAAGCTGTCCCCCTGGGTAGAGTGCCGTGGCATTACAGCTCACAGCAACCTCCAACTCCTGGGCTCGAGCGAGTATCCTGCCTCTGCCTCCCAAGTAGCTGGGACCACAGGCGCCCACCACAACGCCCGGCTATTTTTTTTGGTTGCAGCTGTCATTGTTGTTTGGCGGGTCCAGGCTGGGGATTCGAACCCGCCACCTTAGGTGTACGTGGCTGGCGCCTTAGCCGGTTGAGCTATAGGTGCTGAGCCGGCAATGGTAATTTTTACATAACTCCAAAAGGTGATACTGCTTTTGGTCATCAAATTTACTTCTTACAAATTCTTGGATCTAAATATCTAGGATACATATTAAAACGAGAAGGAAAAAGTAAAGTATAAATTTTATTAACCATTTATTATCAATTTGTAAAAAAACAAAAAAAGTCCATTCCCTAAACAATAAATAAAAACTGTATTATTCCAAATATAGCTAAAAGTCAACAAAGTAAAAAGGAAAAGCATGAGATGCCAATCATGGTGACATCAGATTATTTTGTGAGAAGCAGAATGGCCCAGATTAGCAATGACATTGAGCAGAGATCCCACTTCATTCAAAATTAAAAATTCATAATTATATATCAGAACAGATAATAATAACAAGGTACACCTTGACAAGAGTCATAAAAATACTTATCTGAGGAATTTAATACAAAGTTAGTACCTTTGTAAAAACAAAATTACTAGGAAACTATTTTCACATTCGACTTTCTGGTCAAACATTTTCTCAACAGAGAATTACTACTGTAGGAATATTAAAAATTCACCACTCACTTGTGGCTATTAAACACACACCCTCAGAATGATACCATCCAATGACAGTTCATGAATAAACAGAAGTTTTCTAAACTTGTCAGGTATTTAAAGATGTTAAGTATGAAAACTTTGACTTTAAAATTTAAGTCATTTTTTTCAGCAGGAGATGGCAGCTCACACCTGTAATCCCAGCACTTGGGAGGCCCAGGCGGATGGACTGCCTGAGCTCAAATTTTCCAGACCTGTCTGAGCCAGAGTGAGACCTTATTGCTAAAAATAACTGGGTGTAGCGGGTGCCTGTAGTCCCGGCCATGTGAAAGGCTGAAGCAAGAGAAATCGCTTGACCCCAAGAGTTTGAGGTTGCTGTGAGCTGTGACACCAGAGTACTCTACCAAGGGCACCATAAATAAATAAATAAATACATAAATCATTTTGAACAAAAACACTTTTATTTCTACCTCTGGGTGGAAAATCCCAATTTTATCTAGGAATTTAAAAATAGTAAATCTGCCGGGCACAGTGGCTCACATACTCTGGGAGGCCAACGTGGGTGGACTGACTGAGTTCACCAGTTTGAGACCAGCTTAAGCAAGAGTGAGACTTCACCTCCAAAAATAGTTGGGGAGCTGGGTGTTGTAGCAGGTGCCTGTAGTCCCAGCTACTTGAGAGGCTGAGGCAAGAGAATCACTTGAGCCCAAGAGTTTGAGGTTGCTGTGAGCTATTACATCACAGCATTCTACCAAGGGCGACAAAGTGCAACTCTGTCTCAAAAAAAAAAGAAAGAAAGAAAGAAAGAAAAAATCAAAAAAGAGTGAATCAAAAGCTTTATAGCATTTTGATTCTACTCTGCTTTATAGTAGGACTCCTTTAAAAAACAAACAAACTATTTTTTTTGTACCAAGTTCTAAGTACCTTGAAAAACGAAGTCATAATGATCCGTGTTCCTCTGCAGTGACCAGGGGCAAGCAGCACATTGGTTAATACTGTTTGTTGCCTACCACAATGTGCACTAAGCAAGGCACTTCATATTTACTTAACTTCACAATAAACTTATAAATTAGGAATTACAATGTGTTTTTCAGGAGAGGAACAAGGCTCTGACTTGCTCAAATAAATTCATATCCAAATGGACTTGTACCTTTTACTTTCTTTGTTTTGAGACACAATCTCTGTTGTGCCTACCGAAGTGCAGTGGTATTATAACAACTCACAGAAACCTCAAACTCCTGGGCTCAAGTGATCCTCCTGCCTTAGCCTTCTAAGTAGTTGGGGCTATAGGCACACACCACCACACCTGGCTAATTTCTTCTATTTTTAGTAGAGTCTCATTCTTGCTTAGGTTGGTCTTGAACTCCTGAGCTCAAGTGATCCTTCTACCTTGGCCTCCCAGAATGTACCTGGCCTGGACTTATACTCTTTTCAATATGCTTTGATTAGTTAACTTTTTATTTTAAAAATAATTCCCAATTTACTTTATTTTCTACTGAGAAGAACCTACTTTGTGGATAAATAAATAGTTGTGAGGTTGAACTAAAAAATCATTTAGTGAAGTATTTGGTCAAAATAATTTAATTATAATTTTACCTGAGTTTTCCCTATGTTATGTATGAGAGAACAATATTTACTGGTTGCCTGCTTTGTAAGAGCCATTTATACATGTTACATTATTGTTAATTCTCACAATAACCCAATAAGGGAAATAGTACTTCAGAGGAGGAAATAATGACTCAGAAGTGGAGCAACTTTCCTAAGGTCATACAAGCAAACAGAACACATCCCTCACGTCTTATGAAAAGAAATCTCACTATGGGTGCAGCTTTTTGTTAGAACACATAATTTCCTCTTTAGGGCTCCATTCTAAATATTTTAATTATATGATCATATTATGAGAGTCTCAAATGTTGGTTTACAAACATTAATCACAAACACTCAAGTCACACAGTTCCCTTGCATTTCAAAGTCTAAGTTCTGTTAAAGCAGTACATTTCTCCGTCATTTTGCGGCTTATTGCTACTTCCGGAACCAGCTATTGATAAACTTCCTCTTTTACAGAAAGTATTTCAGTTTGCTAGAGGATCATTTTTAATCTGACTTGAATCATCCCTTTTACTTTGTTAGCCAAATCATCAAAATGTCCAGTTAGAACAAGAATTTAGCATTCTGCAAAAGAAGTTAGCAGCTGAGGTAAGACATTTTCACAGAGGCAATTTGGTTTGATCTTGCTTTATATAAAATTTATTTTAAGAACTAAAATGTCATTAGTGTTTTAAACTTAAATTCAACTCTGATCATCTGAAGATGTTTATAGCAGATTTTTGTGGTTTTGTTGCATGGATTCAAAAAATACTCAGTTTTTAGCTTTCTTTAGAGGAGGATTTTTATCCGGGTTTGTATAAGACTTCCAAGTTTATTCAAATGTAATACTTGTTAACTTTAGTTTTGCAATTAAGAGAAATAAACTACAGTCATAGCAGATAAAGCTAAGGGTTAGCAATAAAATTAGATTCCATGTGCTATGACTGAATTTATAACCTCCAATAGACTGTTAAAAATTCTCATTTGCTTTCTTCCAATTTTTCTTATTTATAATTCATAGATTTAAATTATTTTTATTTTAAAAATTCTGCTTTTACTTTTTATAGTAAGAATTACGAGAAAGAAAGAAATTAGATGTGGTACTCAATTATCATTATTACATATGCCTTATTTTTCACACAAACAGAATTTTATGTTTAATAATGACATGAAATACTGCTCATTTGAAAAGCTTACTAAGATAAAAATGTTATGATAAAACATATAGATATGTTCATATCATTCATACGGTTATGTCACACATTATTATCTGAACCTTTAATAAACAATGTAAGACACAGGAAAAAAATCTACGCAATAACCGATAAAAAATTGGTAATATGCATAAAACATGCTTTAGTCTGTGAGTAAACTAGATAATTACAAAGTCAATTTATTCTCTAGATAAAAATTATGAATAGAATTTTATATAGACCTATGAATGGAATAGTAAGTTTACAAACAGCGGGTGACAGCCTTTTTCAACACTTCATAAATACCTTTTACTTTTCTTTTACAGAAGTCTATTTTTGGATTTCTTTAAGTATTACAAAAGATAGAAAATAAAGATTTTTATCTCTTTCTTAGCTGAGACTTGTTTACATATTTTCCTGCTTCTAATATTTAGCTTATTTCATTGTGCATGTGAGATGATAAAGTTATAAACTATTTTCACTCATATTTCATTAAATAATTTAATTCAAAAATTTCCTATAGATCTTTGACACTGGTGTTTGTTATCACAGAATCCCATAAATATTTTTAAAGGATTAGTCTCAAATATAAGGTTTAATAGTGCCTATTTTTCAACTATATCATACATAAAATTTAGTTAGAAGAAAATTATTAAGCCTGAATTTGCTAAACATATATCTGATGACTCTCAATGTTCAATCTTTAAAAATCACTAGAAACATTTTAGTAAGTTTACTAAATATGACAGCTTACAGGCCAATTATTTAACTTCTATAACTGTTTACACAGAATTGTAACTCTGTAAGAATCTAAAATGGGTTTTCTGGTATTTTTTCTACCCTTTAGAGCCAGCGGTTCTCAACTTGAGGGTCATAACCCCTTTAGGGGTCAAATGACCCTTTCACAGGGGTTGCCTAAAACCATCCTGCATATCAGATATTTACATTATGATTCATAACAGTAGCAAAATTACAGTTCTGAAGCAGCAATGAAAATAATTTTATGGTTGGAGGACACCACAACATGAGGAACTGTATTAAAGGGTTGCAGCATTAGGAAGGTTGAGAACCATTGCTTTAGACTATCTCTAAAAGTTATTTACATATTATTTCCAGAGGGCTCTCATCTTCTTTCTTCATAAAGCATTTTTTTTTTTTTT